CCCCCCCCGCGCCTAAAAAAGTGAAACTACATGGAGTGATGTCCGTGAAAAAATCCTTGCACCGATGGCACGCGTCTGACCACCGACAGTGCGCAAATTAAAGCCCCTCTAGGCCATTTTAATACATAGTTTTCATGTCAGTTATAAGCATTGAAAATGTCTTGTAGAATGAGTATATATTTTTTGTTTTCGAAATTTTGAAACTTTTTGAAATATCTGTAGACCCGAATATACTCTGGCGATAATGTACAAATACTTTGGTTTTGCTATATTAATATGGGACGCAACATCCCGGTCCGTCTCCCACTCCCTCAGCGACAGAAAATGAAAGTCCGGCACACAAAAGATAGGAAACATACCATTAGGGCTTTACATCTCGTATCCTGGACATGGGGTAAGAGGTCATAACAAGAAGCCCAAGGGCTTTAGCGGTATCCTGAGTTATAATATAGTACTTGTAGCTCAATTTCCTTGTTGAGATGTACAAAATGTGGAAAACAACATGTAAACAAAGTGAAATACAATACTTGTCACGTCACCAAAGGATAACAACTTTAAAAACAATTCAAATAAATTATTTGCTAGTGAGAATACACTCTCTCCCCAAGGGAGAGCAGATGACCTGGGGAATAATGAAATTTAAAATTTAGGTAATGGTAATTAAGGTAAGGATCTTTCTATCCAAGAACAGTAAAACATCTGAGTCTTATGAAGATGATTTTTTTAATTATAATCCACATTTTGGCCCCACCCCTCCAGCCCCTGGGGATGGGGCAGGATCTTATTTTCTCATAAAATCTAACTGCCATCTGGCATCATAATCATTCCAACCAAGTTTGAATAATTCCCTGCTGAAAATGGAACCAAAAGTGTTATTTCCCTATATAAACTATAGTAAACTTTACCCCTTCCCCCAAAGGAGAACAGATGGCCCGGTGGCACTGAAATTTACAATTTAAACAAAGCCCCTGATGATCTTTCCATCCATGCAGACAAATTGACTCTGAAAGTACCTCTGAGTCTGGCACCCCCCTTTCACAGATTCACGTCGCTCGGGCGACTTTGCGCCCCATCTACAAACCGCCGCTTTCACCTCTGGAAAATGAAAAACATATTACCTTAAAATAATCCTAGGGAGAACCCGGTAGTATACAAACATTGCACGGCTCATTAGTATATAAACTTTAAAGATTATTAATTGGAAATAAACCAGTATTTTTGCACACATGGTCCTTTGTTTCAGTTGTTATTTTGGACTTTTAGGAATTTCCATCATATTTTTTGCCCCTTTTGCCCCTAGCATCACGGATTCATGAGTCCGTAGAAGGACGAAACAGCGGTATGATGCAGTGTTATCCATTTTTTTAACATACAGTATAGATATATTAACACATTGACAAGGTGCAGTCTCCTGTGTGTGTTACGTTGATCCTTCAACAGACATTATGAGTTAATTTAAAGCAGTCTATACGTAAACTGCTCACAAGATGATCGACATTTTACAATCAAATTTGTCGGTTTCAAGGTCATATGATGACGATGTTCAATGGGTCTGTTTGAACATGGGTCACATGCTTAAAATAGCCTCTTGAAATGACCACTCCAAAGGCTATTTGTGCAGGCTGTCTGAATGTCATGGCGACGAATAATGTTGATCTTAACAGATTATTGTGGTTTGTGAAATAAAAGTTCGAGTGACTACAGTGTGAAGTATTATCTGGAAGTGAGCAATAATTAAGCGACACTAAGTCCTCACATCCTTCATAATAAATTCAGTAGATTTAACGATGATACATAAAACAACGATATAAAGACGATACTATTTCAATGTTTAATACCAATATGTAATTATCAATTTGTCTATATTCAAAACATGCTGAATTGCACAATAGATACATTGTCTACTACTTCTCGTGTTTTCGTCGAGCATCAACACTTTATTGCATAAATATTTAATACTTGTAAATCATCATATAGAGTTTTGCTGTACAGTAAAATAACACCATGGAACACAGCGTATTCAAGTTCTTCATAATAATTAGATTAAATGTGAAATAAAATATCATTTCAATAAATTGTTGTATTAAGGATACCTGCCCCACTGCGCTGCTGTGGTTTTTCGTATTTTTGATAAAACCTGTAGCACAGTTGGGCCAAGACACCTCCGTTCTCCAGCAGGTCAGTCGATAAGAGCGATGTTAGAACAATCTGAAGTCTAGGGTTCGAATACCACTCTAGCTTTAACATTGGTTGGTGGTGGTGGGGGTATTCGGATCCTTAAGTAAATTCTTGACGGCGACGTATTCCATAGTTTCTTCAACGGGAGGCATACACACGTTCTTACTTACGTACTAGCATCTTGATAACTGTATTTCCATTTGGCGGGAAATATTCAGATTGCTCTTGGACGAATGTTTCACTTGACGAAAGTATTCCTCCCTCAACTACCATCACTGTAGTGTTTAACGAAACTCCATGACACAGTTGTATCGACAACAGACTTCAACAGCATTGATAGAGAATCTAATCAAATAGGTACTGGGCCAGATTTAATCAAATATAGCTAGTCCCATGCAAAAAAATAAATCTGAAAGGTTGAGAACTTGTGCGACTGGCCATATTGAAATAATTTCATTCAAGCTGAGTGTCGCCAATTAAATGTCCACCCGGTTAAAATAACATCAACTGAAAAAAACATGTTGTCTTCAAGATGATAAGTAATTTGATTGATGTTTTTTTCTTTATTTCACAACCGATCTTGAAACTCCAATGGTTTTAGCCAAGACAAGTTAGGGAATAAAAATCGTTATTTCGGTAATTAGAATATCAGATGACGTACGTATATAAGCTTGAAATGTTATTCCAAATACATAACGGTAAGAGCTGATTGGCCTAAACATTTTTAATAGCTGACCAATGAGCATGCAGTATACATGCATAGACAATAGCGAAATATGGCGGTGACCTTATCACAAGATTGTGATCATATACTGGTTTTATAAAACTGCAAGCGGAGTAGTCAAAAAACATTCTCATAGCGAATGGGTTCTGTAACTTAAGATTTCTTTACAAATAAAGTCAGCTTTTAATAAATAAATAAAAAAACGTACCCAATGCTCGTGATTTCATCAAAGCGTGAGCTCAAACTTTGATTTAGAAAGCCATCATGGCGTCACGCAGTTTTATGATGACGTCACAGTCATACCAGGGGCCGTATTCACGAGACCGTTCTCTTGCTCACACATGGATTCTGTGCTCAAACCATCTTCTTCGTAACTCGCTTAGATCATGTGACACGGTACAAATGTCAAGTGTAAACAATTTAAACAGCTTTCTGCGGACAAAAGAAGATTTTTCATTTATTTATCACTAGAACAAGAAATTGGGCTTGAGCACAGAATCTGCGTTTGGCATGATAACAGTTTCTTTAATACAGGCGCTGATATTTAAGACACGATATGACGCACACAGCGAGACCAAAACAGCTGTCTTACTTTAAGCGACAAACAAGAATACTTGACCTTTCACCAAACGAGTTTGACCTTTACACCTCACTTGTCTGTTATACTTAGCCTAGTGTTGCTGACGGAAACCTCGGTGAAAGATTAGGTGTATATATGTGTATAAATGATGAAATCACATTAAAATTCCAAATGTGAAAACATCGACTATTCTATGCCTGAACTTATTTCTTTGGATTAAATTGAAGATGTCATACTGTAAACGTACATATGTTTGCGGTATTCCAATTGTCGCGCTATTGCTATTGCGCTAAATCATTACTGTGTTAATTGGAGTTCCTCTATACGGTTTCTATTGTATATGTTATAAGTGCGCCAATTCTTCAATGTGCTAATCTTTTCAATTCAATAAACCGCTAAAAATGTTAGTCTGCTAAAATAAGTACTTTTACAGTAAATTGAAGATCTATATACAACGGCATGCTGCTATTAAAAACGATATTTAGTTTAGGGTTATCATGAGTAAGGACTACCGGTTAATGTTTACACACAATACGCGGATATAAACGGAAGTTAATGAAGTGTTTGAGCTTAACGTGTGAATGCTACATGACAATGTTGACCGAGGTAAATACTGTGTTTGCGATGGCGAGAGCGAGTATACGAGCTGAAACACGCTTACGCGAAGTTACACGTTAAAGTTTATATAAACGTCTATTTTGTGTTTATAATTAATTGATGATGAAAACCGGTATATTGCAATACCGAAGGTCTTACAATTAAGCATGGATACCGGTATATTGCAATACCCAAGGTACTACATTTGATGATGAAAACCGGTAAATAGAAATACCCAAGGTCTTTCAATTGATCATGAATACCGGTAAATAGCAATACCCAAGATATTACAATTGATCATGCATACCGGTATGTTGCAATACCCAAAGCCTTACATTTGATGATGAAAACCGGTAAATAGAAATACCCAAGGTCTTACAATTCATCATGAATACCGGTAAATTGCAATACCCAAGGTATTACAATTGATCATGCATACCGGTATGTTGCAATACACAAGGTCTTACAATTGACCATGAATACCCGTAAACCCAAGGTCACACATATGATGATGAGCACGGTGAACAGTATTTACAAAGTTCTGGATTTCTTCTGTATCACTAAAATGCACACCAAACAAGTCAATCATGATATTTTGGGAAGTTTGGGTAAGCCTCAACAGCGGCTTGCTTCCTGAATCAATGTTGCGATCACTGTTGAATGTAACGTATCTCCGTGTTGGTTTATCATCATTATCACTTTCTACGGTAAACAATGCCATTGATGACAGTCTCAATCACACTATAGATATAATCCCAGCCGTTCGTATCCTAGATTCATTTAAGGAATATTAAATATTGGCAAATGTAGACTTTGTTTAAAAGGTTAAAGGTCTCACTTGGTTATGCCCGATAAATAAGGACACTGGCCAGTAGAACGCCAAGCCAGTAGATTCTGGCGTTGCCGATTGCGACTGGAGTGCCGCCATTTCGTTTTTGCTCGTCAATGACTTTCTGAAACGTTCCATTCCTGGCGCCATAACAATCGGTCTGCATCGCCCAATAGAACGCCTCTTTGGCGAAGGCGCCGACGTCCGCATTACACGGCACCAAAATGGCGTCAAAGATACACATGGCGAGTTCCTTGATGGGTCTGAAACAACAATGAACAATCTCTTACTGGAGAACTAAGATAAGTCATTGAACAGCAGACGAGGATCTAAATAAATGATCATTTTATGTGGTTACTTCATTAACAGCATCTATACTACTTACTCATCAGCCAAAAATGATCTACAAAATTAACACCATAATAATGGTTATTGTCACTCTGTCAAACTTAATTTGGGTTTTGAAGTTTGGAAATATAAAAAAACAAAACATTTCTAACATTATTCACTGCTTTCAACATGAACATGAGCATATAAGGCTTGTCGGCCGTATAACAATAGAGTATCATTTGACATCTAAAATTGATCGTCTAACAACAAGTGTATTATTTGACAACTAAGATCGGTCGTATAACAACAACTGTATTATTTGACAACTAAGATCAGTTGTATAACAATAGTGTATCATGGTCGTATTACAACAGTGTATTATTTGACAAATAAGATCGGTCGTATAGCAACACTGATTACTAGACAACTAAGATCGACCGTATAACAACAGTGAATATATAGACAACTGAGATCGATCGTATCACAACTGTGTATTATTTGACAACTAAGATCGGCCGTATAACAACAGTGAATACATAGACAACTGAGATCGATCGTATCACAACTGTGTATTATTTGACAACTAAGATCGACCGTATAACAACAGTGAATACATAGACAACTGAGATCGATCGTATCACAACTGTGTATTATTTGACAACTAAGATCGGCCGTATAACAACAGTGAATACATAGACAACTGAGATCGATCGTATCACAACTGTGTATTATTTGACAACTAAGATCGGCCGTATAACAACAGTGAATACATAGACAACTGAGATCGATCGTATCACAACTGTGTATTATTTGACAACTAAGATCGGCCGTATAACAACAGTGAATACATAGACAACTGAGATCGATCGTATCACAACTGTGTATTATTTGACAACTAAGATCGGCCGTATAACAACAGTGAATACATAGACAACTGAGATCGATCGTATCACAACTGTGTATTATTTGACAACTAAGATCGGCCGTATAACAACAGTGTATTACTAGAGAACAAAGATCGCTCGTATAGCAACAGTCAATTACTGGACAACTAAGATCGGCCGTATAACAACAGTTTATTACGGTCGTATAATAACAGTGAATTACTTGACAACTAAGATCGGTCGTGTGACAACGGTGTATTGTTTGACAATAAAGATCGGCCGTATTACAACAGCATATTTGACAACTATGATTGGCCATATAACAACAGTGTATTACGTGACAACTAAGATCGGTCGTTTAACAACGGTGTATTACTTGACAATCAAGGTCGGCCGTATAACAATAGTTTATTACATGACAACTAAGATCGGCCGTATCACATCAGTGTATTACTGGACAATCAAGATCGGTCGTATCACATCGGTGTATTACTTGACAATCAAGGTCGGCCGTATAACAACGGTGTATTACTGGACAACTAAGATCGGCCGTGTAACAACGGTGTATTACTGGACAATCAAGATCGGCCGTATCACATCAGTGTATTACTGTACAATCAAGATCGGCCTTATAACAATAGCGTATTACTGGACAACTAAGATCGGCCGTGTAACAACGGTGTATTATTTGACAATCAAGATCGGCCGTATAACATCAGTGTATTACTGGACAGTCAAGATCGGCCGTATCATAACAGTGTATTACTGAACATCTAAGGTCGGCCGTATAACAACTTTTTATTACTTGACAACTAAGATCGGTCGTATAGCAACAGTGTATTACTGGACAACTAAGATCGGCCGTATAACAACAGTGTATTACTTGACAATCAAGATCGGCCGTATAACAACAGTGTATTACATGACAACTAAGATCGGCCGTATCACATCAGTGTATTACTTGACAATCAAGATCGGCCGTATCTCAACAGTGTATTACTGGACAAAGCCGTATCACATCAGCGATTACTGGACAATCAGGTCGGTCGTATCACAACAGTGTATTACTGGACAGCTAAGATCGGCCGTATAACAAAAGTGTATTACTGGACAACTAAGATCGGCCGTATAACAACAGTGTATTACTGGACAACTATTATCGGCCGTATAACAACAGTGTTTTACTAGACAACTAAGATCGGCCGTTTAACAACTGTGTTTTACTAGACAAATAAGATCGGTCGTGTGACAACAGTGTATTACTGGACAACTAAGATCGGCCGTATAACAACAGTGTATTGCTAAACAGCCGTTGTCATGTGGCTATATAGAAACAGTCTTACCCACAGAACTCTTGCCGGTCTTTGTTGGCATCATGAGCAAGGTTGGTGATATTGAAATTGTCAAATACCATAATGCGCTCTGCAGTTCCACACGCTTCGATGTCTATTGCCTTGGTGATTACACAGGGGATCATATCTGTTATCGCTGGAATAGAAGTATTAGAAACATTAGGAGTGCGAGGCATTTATTCCGATACAATATCAATAGGAATAATATATATAATCTGAAATAGTTTTCATCTTCTCAATTACCAATTTCCATTATGCTTCCTATCTGATGGAGTAATAATGACTTCAAATTACCTAAATGGCGGATGTTATCTTACCTAATCTATTCCAATGTTGATTTTTTTTCTATGGTAAACGCAATATTTGGTTATTCGACACAAAAAAGTTAAAAAAAAAAAATATTTTCAATATCATTGACTCGTTTTACTCTTTGGTAACACATTGCTTTATTGCTTGATGATATTTGATCTCTGATTTTATATCTTATTTAAATATATCGTTGCCAAAAAAAGTATATCTATTATGAATTATACACACATTAAAAAGCAAAGTAGCTGTTACTTTTATAATGCAAGTTGTATAAAAAAAACACCTTATTGTTTGATTTGAACTTAAAAACCTTAAAAACCTTAAAAACAGCCCTTTAAGCCAAATTTGAAGGTTAATTATCTTTAGTTTGTAAAAAAAACATTTCCCATGTACGAAAACACAAATACAGATATCATTTTTAAATCAACAAATCCTGAACTGATATTGCTTTTGAGACAAGCTAATAGTACATCATGAAAAAGGCACCAAACAAAAATACCTTTAATTTAAGTATGCTTTTAAACAATATTGATAGTCCAATATTTTGCACTGACTGGTGACCTAAATATAAACTTTATTTATTTAACAACAATTATGAAACAAGTTATTTCAACTTATATTAATCACTCTTGTTGGCCCGGATGTTAGCGCGTAGGGGTCTTAGTGTGGGAGGAAACCGGAGTACCCGGAGAAAACCCACGTGGTCGGGCAGGTGACCCCAATCTTTTCATGTCCGATCGGGGAATCGAACCCCGGCCGCCTTGATGAAAGGCAAATGCGCTATCCACTGCACCATCCGACCACTGGTGTCCTATGCAATCCTATGCAATTTTTGGGAATCTATATTTTACTTTCTCTATTTAACGACAGATTTAGATATTACACTTTAAGTTGATCAAATAACTGTTATTTTGTTATTTTGTTTGATCACAAAGCAGTGTAAAACATTTCCCCATTTCTGATTTTGGTGGACGTTTTTTTCTATACATTAGTACAATGATCGTAGATCGACCGGACTAAATGTGTTTTAACTATATTTTGACAAGGTCTCTGTTCATCAGGAAACGCTCACCGTGATCCTGTCCACCAAGCTTTTCTAAACATTGGCTGATTATGATGATGATGATGATGATGATGATGATGATGATGATGGTAATGATGATGATGATGATGATGATGATGATGATGATGATGATGATGATGATGATTGATGATGATGATGATATAATAATGATGATGATGATGATGATGATGATGATGATGATGATGATGATGATGATGATGACGATAATTGAGGAGGAGGAGGAGGAGGAGGAGGATATAATGATTATGATGCTGGTAATGATGATGATGATGATGATGATGACGATGATTGATGATAATGATGATAATGTTGATGATGCTGATGATGATATTTTGCAATATTTTTGCAACATTTTATCTTTCCAACTTCTATCGACTGCCTGTCTCATTATTGTGACCGGGAACAATATGCATACAATATTCCAATCGAGAACCGTCGACACTTTCCGTAAACGAGGATAAACTGTATTTTCTCGTTTACGGAAAGTGCCGAAGGTTTCCGACTGACAATGTTACGGAAAAAAAATCCCAACTAGGAATCTTGGACAATCATATTTTTTACCGAGTGGCTCTGTATGGCATTATTGTTTTAATTGACTAAGGTTTTAACAGTACATACAATATCTAGTCTGCTGGAGTCCAAGATAGACTCATATACATACCTTTCACTCTGCCAGCGTCACACATCAGGTTGGCAATGGCTGTACCGTAAGTAAATTGGTTGACGTCAATAAGTTCCTTGATGAACATGTCGAATCTGTTTTTGGATGATGGCAACTCCTCCCTAACACACATGAAGTAGTCTGGAAGGATACTGTGAAAGGAAAGCAGAGAGTTCTGTCACAAATCATCCACTTATTTTATAATCACGTCATAACCATTTATTGTGTATTGACGTCACATTCATTTATTGTCTACCCACGTTACATCCATTTCTTGTATACTGACGTCACATCCATTAATTGTATGCTCGCGTCACGTCTATTTATTGTATACTCACGTCACATCCGTTTATTGTAAACTAACGTCACGTCCATTTATAGTATACTCACGTCACATCCATTATAGTATACTCACGTTACACCCATTTATTAGATAATGAAGTCACATCCATTTACTACCTTACTGTATGTGTATACAAGCACGTGTAACACAATGACCCATCTTACTTGTCGCTACCTTATTGCATGTGTTTATATAACACGTGTGATATTTAATACCATACTCTCCCTATTTTCGTTACGTACGCGCATGCTATATTAATGGCGTCTCCGATAAGTTCCTGTATCTGGAAGGTGGTTGGATCGCCTGGGATACTTTCAACAGTCACCGCCAAAGGAAGGACCTTGGTCACATGTGGCACAGCACACACTAGCAAAGGGGACGATGTAGGGTACTGAGCCCCCTCCATAGCCAGGTTACTACAAGTTGTGATCAGGAGGTCGGTGCTCAGGGATTTGACCATAGCCGCAAGACTGGGATTGCACGGAGCTACCTGAATCGCAGCACATCGGAAAAGATCCCCCATTTTGCTAAAACATAAAAACAACAAACCTCTTACAAAGAGTAAAGTTAAGTGTACACTAGTAACTACAGCGGGTGAGCAGTACGTTATATCAGTACATTATGTCATTCCTTATATACATTGAAATTGTTTCTTTATGAAATAATTGTACTGCAATATCCTCACCTAAAGCAATTCTCTTTGAATAAGCATGACCGTCTTTTTGCGGTCAAGGTCTTCGGTGACTATGACGACACCACTTGAGAGATAGCTCAATTTGTTGTGGATTGCGAAAAGAGATCGAAAGAGGCGACTAATGCGGGGCCCCCCTGCAGATATGGGGATTTGTTTTTGTTTTCTACTTGGGGACACAAAAGCGACCGCAATAAATCTGCTGCACTCGTTGCAACATATGGGATCGTTGTATTTCTCTGTACTTCTAACTACCTTTTGTTTCCTAGCACATTGCTTGACAATGGCCCATGCCGGGACATACATGTTCTAAAGTCCTTAGAATTGGTAGCTGTTATACGCTACTTAAAGTTCACCATTTAGAGTAATGACAACAACTGGTATGTAGCTTAGTTAACTTTAATCAAGTACTTTATTTGGAGCGACTTTCCTAGATACCCCTGTGTTCATACTTTACCAGTTTGCTAATATTAAGTTGGGTTAGCGTATTAAACTATCGGTGTGTATCTTTTCCATTTTTCCATGTATGTGTTAATGACATGTTGGTATCAATGTGTGATACTTACGGGCAGAAGGAGTTAACTTGAGTGTCTGATATCACTGTCCCACTGAACAGAGGGATCTCTGTCGAGCTGCTATCCCAGATTGTGGGCAGATAAGCGCACACACCAATAGGTATTATAATATCCGATGGACAATTCTTATTAGCATACAAGTCTGAAACATTACCAAAACAACTTGAGATTCAAAGCAAATTAATTTGCCATGATTTATCTACATATCATCTGCCTTAATATATATTCCTTGTTTGCAATGTGAACATTGATAGCGAGTGCTCTTGCGTCCGAAAATCATAAAGGACTTATAAGCAGCAATAGTAAAAACAAGTTTTGACTTGTAATTTTCATATTGTGAGCTTGGAATTATGAAAGACAGACATACCAGTCTCTGGAAAAATTCGTTCAAAGTTGGGTATTTTGACGTCATTAAATTGATTACGTCAGTACTACTACTTGGATGAATTGGCAATACTGAAAATGATAGTTTGGGTTATTAAAAAAACAAACACTATCTTTCCAGGCAGTTTTTACAGAATAAAGACTTCACCTAAATCTGGTAGTTGGTGTTACATTTGAACACAGTATAAACTCCCCAAGGTTAAGGAGGGATGGAGATTCCTAATAAGTACCTGCGAAATTGTGGAACATTATCACTTTCTGTTTCGTAATGGTTTTCATTAAATCATACTTTTTGGTGTTTCAGTAGTTTTGAATGAATAGTGAAGCAAAACGTTAGTTGTTATGTTTGTCACCAGTATCGTTTGATTACATATTAGATGGGACTTGGGAAGGGAACAAATAGTTATCAATTTAGCTTCCGTATGTAACCTTATATACCATCGCCTGGAAGCACCTCATTGGCATGGGGTATTCTAAATTGCACGTTGACGCTTTGAGGAGGGTGCTGGGAGTTTGGCCTAGTTGCTTGGACACCTAGTAACATACTAAGATTCTAATATAATGTTTTGTCTTCTAAATGACATCATGTAGTGACTGCGCCGAACAATTACAAGCTTCTCGGTGATGTCGACTTCGTTTCATTTGTGGTAGAAACAACCTATTGACTAGGATTATATCTTAGCTATATATAGTCACACGATAAGGTAACTGTCCACACAAACTAGATAGAAACTTACCATTCTTCAACGCGCACATACGAGTAATGAAGGTTCCCACGTGGTTAAGGTTGAATAAGGCTTTCAAGTTCGTATCGTCAGGTTTGATTGAGCTGATGAAGGCGGGGTCGGCTGCACACTGGGACAACTGTGCTACGTTTCTACAGGAGAGAAAAATAAAACACACCTATTCAAGTCGTACTTTTATAATGCGCAAAGTAGATATCATAGTCAAAGACAGATTTTAAAGTCATACCAAATAAGTTTACATGGTAACTCGCACTCGGAAAGAACGTCTATATATATGATTAAATACCGGTAGCAAATGTCAAACAATGTTTTAGCTTCGATCAATCAAAAATCGATGTATGGCGGCCATCTTATTCAATGACAAAATAGAGTCGCAGTGCCATAATATGCTGAAACATCAAACTGGTGCAAAATGGACCTATATCTCAATTTTTACCATTCTGAAGCCAGTCCAAGGCGGCCATTTTGTTCAATGACAAAATGGAATTCGAAGAAGAGTTTGGTTTATCATAATGTACATAAAGATCAAATTTGAACAAAATAGAGTAACTGAATCTGAAGACGAGTCGGAGTCTTAATTTCGACCAATTAGAAGCCAGTTTAAGGTGGGTTATTTAAAAAAAAATGTTTTCCTATTTTTGATGACAAATCGGAAAATGAAACGTGCTTCGCGCATTTAAAAATGCCCACTAATTCTTATGTAAAGTGTTTCTGAAAGAATGTTGGAAACCGTTTGGCGGCAGAACAAGACTAAAAGGACTAATAATTAAAACCCCAGGAATAGCAATACGTCCCTAAACACGTTAAGTGGTCATACTTAACTCATTCACCCCTGAAATTTCATAATGAACTATAACAACCTTTGAATTGGAAGAGTCCAAATGTGTCTTCCGGGGTGAATGAGTTAATATTGAAATGCAACATTTGAAGTATTCATTGCATATGCTATTAAGTAACAGTTGTTACGAAATCATCGACGATGAGGAGTAGGACCAACTAACAATCTCAAACAGTAATAAACAATTGCACAAACGGAATCACAATAGGGACAGTATCAGATCATAGCTGAGATGTCGAGAACACTATTCTAATGCTTTATTTCTGCTCCATTTCTGCTCCCAGTGTGAACTTACTAAATTGGTGTTCTTGTCTTAAACTCATTAAAACAAGAAATACAAGGTTTCGTTGTTTATCGTGATTGTGTCACTCCGACAAGATGTCTCCCTCATTGGGTGCGATGACTCTTGCGTAAGAGTCTCGAGTGGAACGTCCTCAAATCTCAACATGATATCTTTGTTTATCGTGATTGTGTCACTCCGACAAGATGTCTCCTTCATTTGGTGCGATGACTCTTGCGATAGAGTCTCGAGTGGAACGTCCTCAAATCTCAACATGATATCTTTGTTTATGAGTTCGTTGACTGCAAAAGCGATTTCAGCATCTTGCTGAAGCCTCGGTACCGTGTTTTGAATGAGAACACAAGAATGGATCGGATCGCATAGCAGAACTGGAGCAGTAACTTACGATAAAGAATTTACATGCATAATTTCAAAGGGGGCATGTACAAGTGCAATTGCCAAATCTTCAAAGACAGGGGAACCGAGTCGCATTAGCCGCTGTCATAAGCGAGGTGGTGAAAACATAGATCGCATAAGCATGAATCAGCACTAAACAGACATGTTAAATTTGATGAAACATTTTGGAACATCTCAGAATTGAGGTGGCTTGTTGAATTCACTTATGGTTTTTGCGCTTTTTTTAATTTTTCGTGGCGATCATGCGCTTTTTCTTAAAATACAACGAAGCTTTTTCGCCTTTCCACGAAAAACGCCAAAGAACCGATAGAGAAAAATTTAACGGTGGGTTTTGTTTATGCTACAAAGCGGCGCTTTGTAAAATATAATAAAGCTTTAGCGACAAATCGCCCTTTAAGAAAATGTAACGTTGCTTTTTCGCAAAATGCCGTATATGAACACAAAACGTCGCTTTGTCGCGGCGACAAAAGTCGAAAAAGTAAAAGTGTCCCTTATTGGCCAACAGTTAATTGTTTGGAACATCAACTTTTGACAAAAGTTGAAACAATGAAAAGTCAGGGATCGTGAGGGACCTATATGTTATTGGATCGGGTCTAAATAAAGTTCCGATAAGTTTTCGGACACAATCTACATACGGGTCTCGTTAGTATTCAGTTTGGATAAGTAACATGATCTACATACGGGTTTACATTGCTTATTGAAGATACTCGATATATATGTATACTTAGTAAGTGTACCTGGCATAACCTACATACAGGCTCTATAGGATATTCAGTGGGGATACTCGATAATATCTACATACAGATCCTATAATACACTAGCTGAGGACACATGAAATTGTTTACATACCGGTTTCATATTATACTGTGTTTGGATATCCGACATTATCTACATACGGGTCCTATAATAGTACTAAATGAGGATACCCGAAATGATCTACATACGGGTCCTATTAATATACTTAGTGAGGATATCCAATATGATCTACGTCCACGAAAATACTTACGCGCATAATTTATCAAAGATGTCCTCTGCTATTTTCTCGGTGATGTTCTTTATCAAGTTAATCATTTCCAGAGAGCCTGTTGAGCTCGACTGTACTACCAGTGCTGCCGGGGAAATCAATGAGAACGGCTGCATATTGATGACATCTTTTAAAATATCCGTTGGATTTGTGGTTACCATACCGAGTAGTTGAGACACTTGTGTTTGTATCGCATCAGTTGACATGGAAGATGGAAGAAGACAGTTGATGGTGCCCTGTCGAAACAATAAACCACAACGATACCATTACCAATTAAATGTTACATATGTAATCAGTTTTATCAGGTTTCATAGTTTCCCGTTTAATATCAAAGCTATTCCACGCGTAAGGAAGAATATCAATGATTTTTTACTAATGAGAAACACGAGTAAAAATATCAGTGTTTTAGACAATATGAGTAGAATTTACGAGAAAATATTCTTTTTATTACGGTTTTTTTCCCCACCTGCTGTTGAATCACTAAGTTTCGTGATGTTTTTAACTTCGTTGATTTCGTTTCTAATCTTACTCCAAGAATTATTAGGTCCACGAAGTAATTACAAGTTTGATATAAAGCCTTTCTCCGTTTTAGTGGTTATTCGTAATCCACGAAGTGATGTTCCCATGGAATGGTGTTTGTCGAAAAACCACGAATTTTGGGCCCCACGAATATATCTGATTTCGAAATATTCAATGCACAGGCCTCAACACCAGTAGTGAACAAGTAAATTTAGCATTTGCCATCTATTCAATTTACGTGCGCTCAACTGGAGATATAAACTCATAACCTGACCAAAATATAAGTATATTGAGCAAAAATTAGAAATTAGGAGTTTTGAATATCGTTACTTCATATAATATATTCATTTTACCGATCAAAATTACATATTAATGTCAGGTATGCATTGAAAATAGAAAATACACCTTCTGGACCTTGCTGAACAGATTACCAAATCTCTTGATAACTACTTATTACGTTTAAACATTCGACTAGCTTTTTTCTCTCTCTTTTTTTAATTCTATATGCTTTCCTAAATGTATAAAGCAAATTATATTCTTAATAATATAGTCCCTGAGGTAAGCTATAGCCTTTTAGCTTGAATGTATTCTGGCAAGGTAACTATGAAATATTAGTGTAAGAGAAAATTACAACTTATATCCTAAATTTGTCATTTGTAACGTTGTAAAGGGTTTTACATACACCTTTCTCTTATGGCGTATTCGGTCATCCTCGATACCCCAGAGGTTATGCTCACTTTCACTCTCTGCACTCCTAACATATGTCCTAAAGAAATCGAAGGGTGAGAGTGCACCAACTTGAAGATGAGACGACAATACTAGTCTGATCATTTGGGTTACCTCAAGAGAATCTAACGGTCGCGTAACGGTAAAATTGACTGGCTTTGAAGTTGGGTTTCACTCTTCTGTAATCTTCAAAGGACAGGTTTCAGCCTAGCGAATGCTCTGGTTTTGTTTTTTTACCTGCCACCAATCAAATAGCTAGCCGTGTACTTTCAAGTTTACTATGACATATCCAAGGGGTGCTGAGAGAGAAAGTGAACGTAACCCCTGGAGTATCGAGGATGGTATTTGACATACTTTGTGGAACACTTTAGATCTGGATCTTCATTCTTTTAACCTTTTGTATCGCTGGTTAGCCCTAAGTGGACAAAATGTCCATATGGTCTAGCAAATAATTACATTTTTTACGTTCTGCATCGACATATTAATCTTTGGATATGTGATTTTTCTTCATCATATTCCTAGTAAATATTTTCACGTCACCAGGTGGTTGAATCTGCTGGTAGAATATCAGTCCCCGGGAAGACTGAAACCTCGTATCTCAGTGAATGTTGTCTGGTTTACATGAAATACTGATGAAAGAGAAAATTTTCACTGATTCCAAACTTTGTTTTAAGGGATTTTTTTTCTCGATTTGATGTCAATTTAAAGTAATTTAATTTGAAGAGTTTCACAAGAAATCCAAGTTTATAACGATGGTGTTCTCAAACATATATCTTACCATGATCTCCACAATGGACGCCTTGTAGACATTGCAGGCACAACTCAGATACACCGAGTCTATAGAGGAACTGAAACGACAATCAATATGTATACATAATCTATGTGGGAGGAACCCGGAGTACTCGGAGAAGTCTCATATGGTAGGGCAGGTGACCCCGTACCTTTTCTCGTCCGGTCTAGGAACCACACCCCGGCTACCTTTGTAGACGGGGAGTGCATTATACACTGCGCATACAGCCGACCACCCTAGACGCAATTATAATAAATGTTTGCGTTTTATAAAAAAAAATGTTTGTTTTTTTATTATCATTATTTTGTCTGAATATCAGCAATATACATATGCACNGGGGGGGGGGGGGGGGGGGGGGGGGGGGTCACTCAATGAATTCTGTTACACACAGCTTGCGCACGAACGGGCAACAAATAGTTTATCGCCTTGGCAGACCGCAAAAGTATTCAATTAGCAATGCACATGCACAGTTTCGATATCATCCGACAAGACTTTTCGATGCTTAAATGAAGGTTGAGACTAAATCTGAAATACACTCTTTATATCAAAGCACAGTACTTTCCAGAATGAGATACCGCATAATACATGCATGCAGAGTTGTGCAGCATAAAAGAAGCATCTGCCGTCACATTGAGAACTGTTTCAGGTGGATGAACAAATTTGACATCAAAGGTAACACGGTCAGGAAGGGCAGTTATTGAGCATCAAAGAAGAGTATTGCTAGTGTGAAAGCAATAATTAAGGATAATGGTCGTTATGCTGTTTCTGAGATAACGCATATGGTTGGCAAGGCAGAAGGCAGTACACATCCCATTTTGACCAAGTGCAGGTAAAACGTTGTGCCCGATGGATCCCCCCTTTGCTAGGAGTGATCTGTTTAGTGCAATCTTCCATTATATAGCCAGTATAACAAGGGGAGACTACCGCACAGCGTTTACATCATAGATAGTGCGATTCCGAAAGTGCGTTTCTGGTAAGGAGGATATCAAACAAAATACATTTGATTCTTGACACCAGAGACAAAATGTATTGAATGGCCCTCGTATTATCTCTATAAAGAAATAATAAGGAAAAAAATACCTGTACTATTAACGTCCTGTGTAAGAGGAAACTAAAGCCTAGGTCAAAGAATGGAGTTGCTTCAAATTCGAAATCCGGAATCTTATCAACTTGGCATGGTTTGGGGAAATATGTTATTTTATTGGAATGTGTGTGAATTGATCGAGTAGGTGCTTGACTACAGGTATTATCAATACAGACATGTGTTAACAATGGTACCGGTATGTTTTGTTATACTGCTCTCCATTACGCGACGTCACAAGCAATCACAAACAGATAAAGACGAGGTCAACGTTCAAAAATTTGACGTAATATCTCAACAAAGGTATATCTCTCCATTTGCATAAGAATGTTTAATTTGCATAATGCTTTTAAAATCTTTCTATTTCTTTCAGGTTTTTTTTAGCTAAATGAAATGAAAACTCCTTCAGGCTTATTGAATCGGTAAATGATGTTTATGACATGCACGTAACCTGACTCACCAGTTCAATAAGGAAGCGTCAATTTCCAGCGGAATACAGTTGATTGTCTGTGCTAGGTTTGTAGGAAGTGCTAGCACCACACATAGAACCAACACAGCTATCCTCATCGTCGCCATTCAGCTATCACACACAAGGATCGAACTGAAATATAAGTTTGTATTATATATTACACAGATATCGTTAGCTCAACGAAACCTAACTGTGATGCGTGGTGATAAAACATGCCATTGGTATTGAATAAAGAATTGGCAAAATTTATATTGAAAATGTACAAGAAAGTGTTATAGGGTTTCCGAAGTAATGCAAATATCTAAAGTTGAAAATGCTAACAGGTCGAGCTTAAAACTTTGTACTATAATACATTTTACTGATCTGGTTGCTATGTGTACCAAACTCAAAACAAAACTACGAAAAGGATGAATATTATCATCTGAACGGTAACGGTGGTTTATCACACGTGTCTAACTCCAGTTATTTATTTTCAAATTTCAAAAAGGAACGAGGTTTAATGAGAGTCTGCGTGATATTTTAAATTCAATAAAGAGAGTTATATAGACCTCGATAGGAGATAAGCAATTGTAAGGAGTCGTGGAGTTTCGTTTCAGGTATCTGATTTGCATATGACGTCACGTACATGCTGTCGCTCTGATGTGACGTCCTATACATTGTTTGCACGGCGTTAAGTCAAAATTACAAGTCAGGAGTTCTCCCATAGCCAATCATGTGAGTTATTGTGTTGACATAATAGAGAGTAGCGTTTATAGTATAACATGGCCTGCGTGTTATATAACACATGCATGAAGTACAGATACCTTTCGTCATCCGAGTAAACAGATGTACGTTCAGACGCACGATAGCACAAAATAACATCGGTGTCATTGTGTGTATTCTAAAACGTTTTTGACTTTCGTCTGGTATTTGTGCTTTCGAAGGTACAATTAACAAAAAGGAATTGAGAGGTTCGTTGTTTGCATTTCAGGCGTTTTTCAATGTAGCTTGTATTTCTCATATAATGGAGTTATCCAGCTTAGGGTGCAGACTTAGAAGCAAAGTGCGATGAAACAGAAGTCTCGTAGGCGAGGTGTTCAGCAACTATTTGTTCGAAATTCAATGATGCATAGCTATTCCAAATTCCGATGATTGGGACAGATCCAGGAAACGGGACAGATCCAGGAAACCCATGCAGATTGGATGGGACTAGGAGTCTGAAAATTTCGAGTTTGTTATAGATTGTAAGTAAACATGTTCAAGAAAATATACTTGCAGGCTGGATTGACGATTTAAATGTTTTAGTTGACAAACATTGATTTTATAGGTTTTAACGTTCTACCAACAGCTAGGGTAATTTAAGGACGTGTCTCCATTTGTGTTGTGTATGCGTGCATGCGTGTATGTGTGCCGGATACGGGGTATGTTGGTGTATTTGCCTCCTTATGGTAGCGCTAATCTGATTCCTACTTTATAATGCTTTTTCACTGAAATACTTTGTCAAACGAAGCACCCAGCAGAGC